TCAAAAAAGAAATGGTGATACAACAATTCCTAGTGGAACAAAAAGTTAAAATAACTTTGCTGGATTGTGATTCTCTATCAGAAGTTTGATTTGATACAAGATGTTTGTTATTTGGATGTTTGGTACAAGCTGCTTGCTAATGAAGAATGTAGGAAAATTATTTCATTCTTTTCTTTGGGTGAAAGGAAGGTGGGTGGGGAGCCTGCCCTTTTGATGTTCATCATCATGTCAAGATTGTTGAGAAGTGGCCCGTTGTGTATTCTATGTTTCCAGTGATGCTTGAATAGTTAGCTGTTCCAAATAAGTATTTTTGCAACCGTCTGTAGCTCAGTGAAGCTGATATATCCTTGGTTCTGACTGCAAATGTATGAGACTCAGACTAATGTGTATAAGATTCTCTGAGGTATTAATGGGGTATTTGACTTGTTGTGTTAGACAAGATTTTAAGTGCAATGCTTTACATTCCAGCAATTCTATTATGACTTTTTTTGGGTAGTATCTCATTGGATGAGTTGAATGTGAGTAAAACTGTATGAATTCCTTGTTGATTATAAATTCGTCTGTTTGTCTTGGAAAATGACCGCGTGTGTGCCGGGGGGGGGGACTTCGACTGGTATTGTTTTCCTTATCCGTGGGACTGAGAATTTACATTTCTGCTCATGGTCCTAGTTTAACTCGCGGTGTTTCATTAGTCATGCATGTGGAAATTGGATGTTTTGCTTTTATCTTTAGGAGGGATTGCTGATAGGATCCAGTTTGGTAGTTTGAGTTTACAAATTGAGTGATGAGCTCATCATCGAGCTGAACAACTATTTGATTTTAGTGTTTGAGTAGACTGCTACTTTTTTTGCATCTATCTTCAGAGATATGTGTCTAGTGACATTTGTTAGATTTAAAAAAGCTGGAAGAATCTGAATTTGTTGATAATTTATTTAGGGATTTCATTGAAGACACAGGAGCTGTATGCGGTTGTCTTTTTGGCTCGGTACTTGGATCTGCTTACTGATTTCTTCTCTTTGTACAATTCCGTGATGAAAGTGGTGTTTATTGCGAGCTCTCTGGCAATTGTGTGGTGTATGCGGTATCACCGAGCTGTGAGGCGCACATATGATCGTGAACTGGACACATTTCGCCATTACTTTCTTATTCTGGGTAGCTTTGTCTTGGCTCTCATTTTTCATGAGAAATTCACAGTTCAGGAGGTAAACTTCTTGTTTTGCAGTTGTTTTGTTCGATTTATTTGTGTCTATATATTTTGTCTTAAAGTTTTGAAAGCCATTCATTATTACCAAATAGTTTGTCTAGATTGTAACAGGAATTAATTATGTGAGTGGTAATGTTGTGACTTGCAAAACTCTAGAACTTAGCTTGCCACCTCTGGCTGAGTATCAGATTAGCCTTTATCTATTAAAAGAACTTCCGAATTTGGTGTAGTGATTAGAGTGATTTGTGATATTTGAAGGCTGAAATTTTCTTCTGTTTCTGAAAACTTCAACCTTAAGCAAAATTACATTCAATGTGATATTTGAGATTGTAATTTTAGTTTTCCTTTGAGATTGTACCTTAGTTATTAACTTCTAGGGACTATTGTGCTTAGTTTAGTACTTATTGATTTTTAGACCCACAGTGAAGGCAAAGGAAAGGAAGAGAAAATGTGCTGGAATGGAGCACAAGGATTTCTTTCTCAATTTCTCTTTGGACTAACAACTTTTGACTGCGGTTGAAATTTGGCATAATGGAAAGCTTTTGATGTCTAAATGTAGATATTTACTTCTTATTTTTGCTTGCAATTAGTTTTTCTTCTTGATTTTCTTTGGTAACAGGAGAACGATTTTCTCATATTTCGTTTGCTTTTCCTCCCAAAACACTAAGCTGCAAATAGGCCCGGAATGTTCTTGAAATAAATGTAGGAAGATGATTGAAAAACTTGTTTCTCAAATGCCAATGTTTATCAGAAGAAAAAATGTGCTCAAGTCGAGGAATATAATTGCCTTCACATTTTTCTCTTCACTCTAATTTATGGCTTTTGACAGAGGTTGAAATTTGACGTAATTGAGAGTTGTTGATGTCTAAGTGTAGATTTTTATTTCTTATTTTTGCTTACAATTAATTTTTCTTATTGTTTTTCTTTAGAAACAAGAAAACGAGTTTCTCAAAATTCATTCTCTTTTCCTCTTTTTAATGTTAAGTTGTAAATAGGGCCTGAATGTTCTTGAACTGAGATTTAGTAAGCTGATTAAACAACTTTTTGGTCAACTCCAACATTTATCATTACTTGTACAATTTTTGCATCTGGTTAGAAAATGAACTATATAGATCAAATTTAAGAAATGTGATCTTTGAATCTTATGTGATTTTTCTGCCTGAAGATATTTCTGGATCTTTTATTCTTTAAAGGACAAATAAGATGAGGCAAAGGCAACCTGAGGCTCTCTTTTTACTTCATCTGTCATGTGGAAAATTAGTTGACACTATACTAATCCATGGAATCAAGAATTATATCATTGCTTGCTCTTATGTCCTGACATGTATTCTCGTGCTTCTTGCATCTATTATCTAAAGCTTATGCACAAGTTGGTTCCACACAATTTTCACTCACACCAATTTATTTCTAAAGTTGTCATCAATATTTATTTTTCTGTTCACAGATCTAATTACCCCACTTGTTTTGCTCATTACATTTCTGATATCATTGCAGATATTTTGGGCGTTTTCAATATACTTGGAGGCTGTTGCAATTCTTCCCCAGTTGGTTCTATTGCAAAGAAGTGGGAATGTGGACAATCTGACTGGACAATATGTCTTCTTTCTTGGGTATTTTAGACTTTCCTTTTGTTTGACTACTTCTCAGAAATACGACTTAGTTAACTTTACTTGGTTTGGAATGACTTTGGGGAAGCATGAGTAGTTGTCTTTATGAATCTAGTTTCATGCAACATCCATAATAATGTCGAAACAATTTCAGCTTTAGAGATATGCCCTGATACGCAATGGTGCTTATGCAGGATGGTTGCAATGGTACCTCTACCGAGACATAGTTGCAATATACTTGTCAAAAAAGTTGATGGATATCTTGGATTCACTCTGCTTAGCCTTTGTTTGTTTGTTATATGATTACAGGGCATATCGCGGGTTCTACATCTTGAACTGGATTTACCGCTATTTCACAGAGGCACATTTCGGTCGATGGATAGGTAAGAGTTTTGACAGTGGGGTGTATTATTCTAACATTTAACCTTAGTTTATAACATTTTACCCTAAACGTTTTACTTTTTCTCAGCTTCCATCTCTGGTCTCGTCCAAACAGCGCTTTATGCAGATTTCTTCTATTACTACTTTATCAGGTAACTAGATCTAAACTTAGTAATGATGGATCGTTCTGGTTCTGTAATGTACAAAAACTAACCCAGAAATTGGTTTTGCAGCTGGAAAAACAACGCCAAGCTTAAGTTGCCAGCATAAATACAAGCTTGTTCATAATTGATACTTCTTCTGCTATAATCACTAAAAGTTTGCTGCTGACAGAACTTGCCTACAAGATAAAACTTGTTATCAGATGGAATTATCTTGGTTGCAAAGTCAAATTGATTTGACAGTGTTAGATGACGTATCTACTAGCTTAGCTCATACCATCTTTCTGATTAGTTGAAATACCCCTGTTCATATCAAAGGGAATGTCCTAAAAGTTTGTTTACATTCCCATATAACGTAGAGCTGATTGTAGAAGTTCAGAATCAAAGGTGGATAATTTTGTTTCTCTGCTCCTGCAAAATACTGATTCTTATTGCCACAGTTTCGACGATGAACGAGCCTTTAGACTAATCTTCATTTCTTGTTTTCCCCCATTTCATTTATCTTTTTACGTTCAAGCACACAACTACTTAGAAGGTTGGTTCTTGGATACTACCTTCAGCTAGAGGGCAATTGCAATTTCCAATTGACCTCTATTTCAAACCAGAAGGTTGGTAAGTTTGGTTTAGGAAGCCAGGATACATGCGAGGGCGTAAAGTTTCAAAGCTAGGTGGTTGGTCATGTTTTCAATTTGTTTTGCTCCTTGGCTGTGTAAATTTTCAGTCGTACAGTTTGAAGTTGGAATGTTCATCTATTGGTGTTCAGGTTGTAATGCAGATGAAAGTGACATTTGGATTCCGAAACTTGTCGAGATAAACTAATTTTGTCATCGACCAATTGGCATGGTTGCTTGGTTGTCTCTCTTGGCCCTGAGATAAACAACTAAAAGAGAAGTTTACTCGTAAATGTTTATGCAAATTGCTGCTTCATTTCGAGAAAATTTTTGAAGGATGGTAAAAATATAACAAACCCTTTGACCTTGTCCTACTTATTATCGTAGAAATGGTCAAAATCAACTTCCAACTGTCCTCCTGTTGGCTCTGACCTTAAATCTGAATATTCTGATGATTTGAAACTTCCTTTAATTAATTTTTGATTGAATATCCTCGACAAGACTCAATCTTATACTTCAAACAAAAACAAATTTAATTTCATTATGCGACACAAAGAAAAAGGGTACCTATATCCTCTTTTTAAATTGTTCTATTCTAATTTAACATTACAAAATAATTGTACAGTACCACAAGAAAATATCCGTTTTTGTAATTTTCAAAAACAAAAAAACTCCAGCTTCTCATCCCAAAATCAATCATCCATATAATATAAAAAGTTAGACTAGTGGCAGTTGGTATAAATAATTTTGGTCATTTTTTGAACTTTCAACTTCACTCTTACAAAAAATTTTTTTTTTTACCCTCATCATCTAATCACATTTTACCTTTATGGATTCGTAACTGCACTAATCTGAATGCCAAATTACTAAAACATTATAAACCAAAGTTCTTTAGTAAAAAATTCATATCAATTTGATTTACGTAAAAAAAAAAATTTGTATAAAATTAATTCATTTTAATTATTTTTAAATTGTACATGCATTATTGAGTGCACCCGTATAATAAAACCACCGTGGCAGTCCTCCTATTAGAGTCCTCCAATAAGATCCAAGAACGAGTACGACGCGTTTCGGGCACCCGACCCGATTTCCAAACATACTTCTTGTGTAAACCCTACAAATCCAAAGAATTCCCCAAAATAGATGTACAGTTCCTCTTTTGTCATTTCTTTTTCAATTTCTCTGCCATCAATCGAACCGAAATTTAGACCGGTGTATCCACTGTAAGCTCTCTGATTCCTTTGAATTTCTGTTTAGTTTTATTGGCTGCATTTAAAAAAATTTTTTGGTGCAGTAATTGCTCAGATAGGTTTAAATGTTCACTTTTGATTTTTGATTTTTTTTGCTACTTGCATGGATTGTTTGGATGAATTATCTGTAAGATCTGATTATTCTGTCTGATTGTGAATATTTTATATTTTCATTTTGTGATTGATATGTAAGTGAAAATATACATTTAGCTAACGATCTCTGGATTTTAAATTTTCTGGAATTCCAATGGTAAGAATATTAATCTTTTTCCATGTTTGCACTTGTAGAATTTACTCATGGTTGTGTTTAGGTAACATTAGGAACAGGAAAAAACGGTGATTTTTAGTGGGTATAAATTTCCGTGGAAAGTGGTTCATAATATCTGTTCTGCTATGGTTTAGGTACTTGCTATCTCGACTTTATTGTGTGAAAATTTTATGTTTTTGCTACTGGATTTTAGGAGATTTTCCATTGTCAAATACCTTGTTTGAAGCTGTTTGGAGGGACTGTAGGAGTTGATTATCTCATATTATGCATTATTTCTGCGGTAGGTTTGACTAATGAGAACAAAAACACACAATGGGTGCAATTTTTTTAAAAAAACCTGATGGATAAGTGATGTGATAATTATTAGTTGTGGGTTAATTTGAAATTTTTGATAGAGTTATTGCTGTCACGTATTAGTCTGTTCATTTTGTCTAATTTTCTTTGAGGAATGACAGCAATGTCTGAACAGGGTTGTAAATACCAAGCAAGAATGGAATTTGGTTAAAAGGATAAGGAAGAGGATCAGGAAAAAATAGGAGCAGGTTGGAAATTAAATGGGTTTTGTTCTAGATATGTATGAGATTATGGGGAGTTGTTAAAAGTGATTAAAAGTGCTTTTTGTATGGTCGAGTTGTTAAATGGTGTCTGTAATAAAGGATTGAAGGGTAATTGAACTTTTTCCAGGTTAGTAATATGTGAAAGCAAACATTCTTTGATGGTATGTTGCTCTGGGAGATAGAAAGGCATTATCAAAGCATGGTGAAAAAGAACATAGGATCCCCAGCCCTTTTCTTTTTTCTTTTTTCAATAGTAAACCTCATTTTTAACAGTTGAAATGCTCTCAAAAATGAATGAGAATTAGAATCCTATCAGCTTTGTTCTATTGACAAAATTTGTTATATTCATTTTTCATAGTCGAGTTAACGGGTGCTTAATTTTTATTACTATATACCACTTTGCTGTGAAGATATGTTTCTAGTTGGCTTATGAATGTTTTTTTACATCTTAAGCACAGGCTAAAGATAATCGGGTCTAATTTGGGAAAATGGGTGGAGGATTTAGAGTGCTGCATTTGGTTAGGCCATTTCTTTCATTTCTACCAGAAGTTCAGAACGCTGACAGGAAGATTCCCTTCAGAGAGAAGGTGATATATACTGTCATCTCCCTTTTTATCTTTCTCGTCTGCAGTCAACTCCCTCTTTATGGCATCCATTCTACAACTGGGGCGGATCCTTTCTATTGGATGCGTGTCATTCTTGCCTCTAATCGTGGTAGTGTCATGGAGCTGGGAATTACACCTATTGTAACGTCAGGACTGGTCATGCAATTGTTAGCTGGATCAAAAATCATTGAGGTTGACAACAATGTCCGCGAGGATCGAGCGCTTTTGTAAGTCGATTCTTCTCCCATGGTAGGATTGTGAACAGTTCTGGATTTGTGGCACAACCTTTCTTGCATTTGTTAACTTATTTTAGCACCTTGAATAGTTGATATTATCCGTAAGAACTTGGTCCTTTTTCTTTGTTGTTCTCTTGATTTTAGGTATCTTTATGTACACAATTTTTTTCTTAAGCAGGATCATTGTTTGGAGGAACAATTGGTGGATGTCATGATTTTAGAATTTTTTATGCAATACGTATTATTTCCAAAAGTTGATTATATTACCACTATACGAACATACATGCAAATATGCGCGCACACACACATTATAACTGTATATGAGTTAAATGGGGATTTAGCTGTGACAATATTATGTCCACTCTGAAGCCTCAAGTTTAATTTCTTTATCTTGGTATTTGTTCTCTTTGAAAATATAAATGTCAATTGTTGCCTGAGCTTATTCATACAAGCTCTGTGTCAATACTTTTTATTTTTGAACAGCCACTGGATTTACTGTTTTGAATTGACCAGAATTCACGCTTTTCCTTCAGAGCCTTTTTTTTTAAACCTTCTTTTCCTCCTAATTTCCTTAACTTCAAGTTTTACTGGATTCCTTCCTTTATTTTTGCTATTTTCTTTTTTTTTTTTTTGTAAAATTGTTCTCTGTTGATCTGCAGAAATGGTGCTCAGAAGCTGCTCGGAATCCTGATTGCAGTTGGTGAAGCTGTTGCTTATGTGCTGTCAGGGATGTATGGCAGTGTGAGTGAACTTGGGGTTGGCAATGCCATTCTTATCATTGTTCAGCTTTGTTTCGCTGGTATCATTGTCATATGCTTAGATGAGCTTCTTCAGAAGGGCTATGGTCTTGGCTCTGGGATTTCTTTATTCATAGCAACCAATATCTGGTATGTTGCCGATTCCACTTTTCACTTGTCATTCTTTTTAATGCTTTCCAATTGTTTAGGATTCATGATTTTTGGAGGCAGTGTGCTAAGTTGTTGCTAATCTTTTTAGTGAAAATATAATCTGGAAAGCATTTAGCCCCACCACTATCAATAGCGGGCGTGGTGCTGAGTTTGAAGGTGCTGTTATTGCTTTGTTCCATCTACTGATAACAAGGACAGATAAAGTTCGAGCTCTCCGTGAGGCCTTCTACCGACAGAATCTGCCAAATGTTACAAATCTTCTTGCTACAGTTTTGATCTTCCTCATAGTTATCTACTTCCAAGGTTTCCGTGTGGTTTTGCCTGTGCGCTCAAAGAATGCCCGTGGACAACAGGGCTCATATCCGATTAAGCTTTTTTACACCTCTAACATGCCCATCATTCTTCAATCTGCACTTGTAACAAACCTCTACTTCATCTCCCAGGTAATCTAGCTTGATGCTTCTTTGGTGCTTTGAAGCATTTTCTGTCTTTTCGTAAGGTGAGGCTAGAATGCAATACTATCTTCTTCATCTGCAGTTATTGTACCGAAGGTACAGTGGAAATTTCTTTGTCAGTTTGTTGGGCAAATGGAAGGAATCTGAATATTCAGGTCAGTCCATTCCTGTGGGTGGTCTGGCATACTATGTTACTGCACCATCAAGGTAAAGTTCTTTACTTCCTGAGAAAGTTTAATTTTCCATCCCCTTGCTCTGCTGATGGACATGGAAAAATACATGAAAACATCTGAATATTTTCACACTAATTTTTTAATCCTTATGTTTGGGAGCTGAATCTTTTTTCTTGATTTTGTTATCATTTATGTCAGTCTGGCGGACATGCTAGCACATCCCTTCCATGCGGTCTTTTATATAATCTTCATGCTCAGTGCCTGTGCACTATTCTCGAAAACTTGGATTGAAGTATCTGGATCTTCAGCTAAAGATGTTGCCAAGCAGCTAAAGGTATGACTGATCTGACTCTTAGATTTTTTGTTGTAATTAATAGTATTCAAGATATTTAAAATAGATTAGATTTGTTTTGGGCAACAATTTTTGGTTCTTTATGAAGAATTAGTAGTTTATTGGCTCTGGTACAATGCCCTTGTTTCATTGCTGTTTGGCCTTGAAACATGTCCTTGACTATGCGGACTGTGATTAATGCATAAGATATGGATATTGTAATTGTCCTTATTCATTGTACCCATAACACAAAAGAATTGGGACTTTGTTTCAGGGTGCCCTGCTATTACTCATTCAGAATAAACAGAACTTTTATGCTTTGTTTTAGTTCTCTCTGATTTGTTTTGTTGCTGAAAGTTCTTTAAGCAGTTGCATTTTATCTGGCATAGCTTTTGCGCATGCCCAACTTGTTGATTTAACCATAAGACTTTGAGCTTACTCATTGGTGCACAGCCGTGGAGGATAATATTTGATTTTGTCAATGCTTTTGCAGGAGCAACAAATGGTGATGCCTGGACATCGCGATTCCAATTTGCAGAAGGAACTGAACCGTTATATACCTACTGCAGCTGCCTTTGGTGGAATGTGCATTGGTGCATTAACAGTTTTGGCAGACTTAATGGGAGCTATTGGTTCAGGGACTGGAATTCTTCTTGCAGTTACTATTATTTATCAGTACTTTGAGACTTTTGAGAAGGAGAAAGCCAGTGAGCTGGGCTTCTTTGGATTCTAAGAGGGGAAAAACAATGAAATTATTAGATACAGGGATTCAAATGTTGCTAGTTGGTTCAGGATACAGGCTCCATAGGAACTACTCATCTGGGATATTACATGTAAAGCTGCTTGTTAGCACCCATGGATAGAGAGATTCAGGTTACGATTGTAGTCTAAAAGCTTTTGTTATCAGCGGAACTCGCAAATTTTGTAGAACTGTGTTGTCAAAGGAGAATGAAAGCTTACATCTCAGGTCATTTGCTTTTAATGTAGAATGCCTTTGGGTTTGTTTTCTTTTCTTTTCCCGAGACAGTAAAAGTTTCAAAGATTCCAGGGCAGATGAGCTCTCGATGTTTAAACAGAAATAATGATACTAACAATCTGTATTGGTTCCAGTCCCTTATCATGACAATGCAAAACGTAAATATGATCAAAACTTCTTATTACGCAAGCAAAACTGGCTCTTGGTGTTGGACTCCGCAATTGGGCACAGGCTTTAGTCCATTTGTCATATTCTAATATCGCCAAACAATCCAACTATTTTTACCGGTCGAGAAGACTGGTTGATTCGTCTATCTTTTCCCTAATTTCTTTATGCTTGCTTATATGTTGGTCACTAATAAGATTCTTGCCTGAATTTTCAATGAAGTGACTTAGATTACATCACTATAGGCTTCATCTTCCTTCCCTTGTTCACTTTTTTCTTTTGATAGAAAAAATCATTTCATTTAATATATATATGCATGAATAATAGAAAATGCCTCAAACAAATATGACACAGATATATAGAAATTTGAAATCAATAGAAGTGGCAGATCGTAATACAAGACATTTGGATTGTGTGGTATGTGCGAACTCTAAAATGTTGACATCATATAGAAAAACGAACAGAACCTATATTTTCGCCTGGAAAACATTTGCACTGCAGAGGCACAAGAATGCTGTGGTCAGTTGGTCTAAGAATTTTACAAGTCATTTTCATCAAGAAGTACCTCAATAATCAAGCTACAAAAGGAAGCCAACTGAACATGGAAAGGAACAGTGATAAGCAAATCCTCAAGTGTTTATAAAGTTTTTTTGGTTGCTTGTTTCTTCTTTTGTAAAGTAATCATATCAAAAACAGACTCAGGGCATTGTGCTCCATGGAAAAGGAGCAGGGAAGAAAGGTTCTGGAATCCAATCCACAAGAATATCCAAAACACTTCTAATTATTTCTTCTTTTTTTTTAAAAAAAATTAAATTAAATTCCTGCCATGCATTTTGGGATACTTTCTCCAATTAATGTCACAAATAGCATTTGTTCAACAATGAAAGTTGAACACTCCATGAAAGAACACAACAAAAAGAACTAGTTAAAAAAATGGGTCGCTATGGAGTGTCTCCCCTTGAACACACAAAAAAAAAAAAAAAAAAATCAACAGTCCTTTGAACAAGGGCTAAGCATGCCTAAATTTGATGCAAATTTAATATTGTAGGTTTAGCATTCATGTAACTTACTCATTACATAATTTTCACAATACATTCTCAAAATCAAAACACTGGCATACACAAGGTTGGGATTCATGTAACCACTAGCTAGAATATCATCTTCTGCACTTGAACCTCTATTTGCATTTTTTGAGAGCTATCGTCACAATGAAAAGTCGCATACAGCCATCCCCAAAAATCGTCTTGGATCAACAACTTGAAAACTTACTTCTAAGGTAGATGCCTGAGGTTCTAGATTTAGAGACCTTGAGCTATATAGAGGGGCTGAGAGATAGCTTGGATATCTTCCCATGAAAAGAAATCTTCAAGTTTCAGTTTGACATACAAGTCTAAATTCAAAACATAGTATGCACGGAATCAGCACAGTTGAAGCATACATTAATTTACAACCTCTAGCTTCTTAGTTTTGCAGTGTGTAAACCAAACAATTAAGGGTAAATTACATTTTACCCCCCTGTGGTTTACCCTTTTTTTACATAACCCCACTATGGTTTCAAAAGCTATACATAACCCCCTCATGGTTTGGATTAAAGTGTCAAAGTAACGGAAATAGTCACTCGTAACGGAACTTCTAAAAATGTCGAAATTACCCTTATAAATACATGACACATTAACCCCCTATGATTTTTATATTTTACCATATAACCCCCTTATGGTTTAATACTTTACCATATAACCCCCTTATGATTTTCAAAATATACACATAACCCCCATTGGTTAATACATAAATTTCAACCTTACATAAGGGTATTTTTGACATTTTAGGTGACGCCGTTACGAGTGACTACTTCCGTTACTTTGACACTTTAATCCAAATCATAAGGGGGTTATGTATAGCTTTTGAAACCATAGGGGGGTTATGTGGAAAAATGCTAAACCACAGGGGGGTAAAGTGGAATTTGCCCAACAATTAAACGAACTCTAACCAACAAATAAATATGTAATGGTTTGGCAATAATTTTATCTTGGACTCTTCTCTAGGGTGGGCAAAGAAGTTCTTGGAATCTCCTTGTCTTTATAATACAGTAACCATATGCACTTTTATGCTTCCAAATTTTGGAGTTTGGAAGAGGAAACATAGAAAATTTTGTTCTCAAATGTACCGAATATTGGTTGTTATCAGAAGCTGATTTTGAGGTTCCGGCAACCCTTGGAACCAGCTTTAGAATCATTTCGTCCTTCTTGTCCTCTGGAACTGAGTTGGGAAGGGACTTGTCAATTGGCACTACAAGATAAATGGATACTTCAACGTCACAGTTAACTGGCATTGGACAACAACTGCTTTGGCAGGCAAAGAAAGAGAAAGCTCAGTATCTGCACCGAGTAATGCAGTTGTTGGCAATGAAGATTCAGCACTAGTAGATTTTACCAGACTAAGATGATGTTGAAACGGAGTTATTAGTTTCCATGTTAAATGCTGGAACTGAAGGGAATCCAAATTTTGCTGGAAGATTGTGATTTGAATTGTCTTGGGGCATTTTAACCCCTACTGCCTTGCCAATTTTGAAATTGTTACACCTCCAGATTCTAATATAGGAAGCTTCCCTGTTCTAGAGTTCACTTTTGATTTTTGAACCATATGTTCAAGAGCTTTTATCCAAATGAAGGGACTTCAGTTGAAGTACATAATGTCTCCTAGTGAATTCAGATGCTCTTCTGTAGAACTAAAATTGCACGGTGGAAGCACGTATAATTTGACACATAAAAAGATGCACGGCATGCAACTTATCTGAATGAGGAGTCCAAATGGATCACATGGCAAACTCCTGTTCTACCAATTTATTCTTTGACATATACACTAAATAAGCAAAATAATAAAGCTTGGTTTTACAAAAAATTTCCAACATTAATTCTCTACTACCCACGAACTTTTCTTCTGAAATTGATGCTCCTACTAAGTTAAAGGTTTTATGAACAGCTGCTGCTGGAGACTTGGGCAACTTTCTTTGGAACAAGTCCATGGGCAACCAAGGAACCTTTCGACTTTAAATTGGAGACGCTGCTGTTGGTGTATACCCATAATAAGGATTTGCCATGTTGGTTGCCTCTGAAGGACCATTATGGGAACAACTGATAGAAGGATTTGTTTTAACAAATTTTAGATCATTAGGTTCTGAATCTTTAGATTCTGCCTCAGACGTTAGTGAAAGAGAAAATTTAATATTGCTTTATCAAACCGCCAATGTAATAAAGGATTATACATCATGTTTCAAAGACACTTAGGATTTGTTTGGATCGATGGGTTTCAATATATTTTTTTTTCATATGAATTCACATGAAATCCATATTAATTCAATTACGCTATTTGGTCGTTGGTGATCATAATGTGATAACTAGAACTTAAGGTTAAAAAAATTAGTGTGAAATTAGAAAAACTAAAGCTTCAGAGGTTAAATTGTTGAATTTCGTAATTCTCCTTTTTCTGACTTCTTTTGCATCTTGATCTTCTTGTTGGTATTTGTAAACTTACAAATTCCTCTAACAAATTTATGGATTTCAAATCCAATTCTTTTGCGAGTCATCCAAACGAGGGAGTGAATTTGGGTGGAGGATTTTTTAAACCAAATACATCCAAATACCTCAATTCAAAGGACCCTTATTTAATAAAAGCCCCAAATGTTAATATTTTGAAAAAGTGATGTTAAGTTGCATAAGTTAATTGTAAAGAAAATAATAAATGTGAGTGAATGCAATTATATGGCTATTTGTGTGTTGGAACTTGGAACCATCATAGATAATTCATTAAAGGGTCCTTTAATTTTTTTTCATCTTCTCATATAAGTTTGAGGAGCTATCTATACACCACGGACTGTAATATATATATATATATATATATATATATATATATATATATATATCGTGTGTTTCACAAAGGCAACATTTTATTTTTCACGAAAGTAAAACCTTTGTGTGCTTGTCGAAAAAGTACCCCTCCTTTGCATAACATAGATACATATACAAAATATAGATACATATACAATTTCTCCATTTGGCTTGACATGAAAAACAGACTCTGTCTATAAAGGAATTAACAATTATAGCTAGCTCTTTCCTTGCTATCCCTTGATCTAAGAATAGAGTCATGTAAATTTAACATTGCATTCCCTTTTTAAATTTCCTTACTGTCTATGTCATGAGACTTGCAAAGAATCTCTTAGCTCTTGGTCTCTAAGTGAATTTGAGGAATTAGTGAATATAAAAGTTGGTGAAGATTGTCAATGAATCTTAGACATTTGGAATGGTTATAGGTCTATGCTGCACCCTAAAAGCTGAGTCATGAACGGCAGAACGTTGGAGCAGATGAACTAATGAAGCTTTCGGATACAAGACAAATACTCCCCATTTTGAGATAAGCACGAAATGAACACAGTTGAAACATCCCTTCATCCAACAACATTCAGGCTCCTAGTTTTGCAGTATGTAACCCAAGAAGCATATGGACTCTTAACGCACAAATAATATGCATTGGTTTGACGACTTCTCTAGGGTGGGTGAAAGTTGATCGAATTTCCTCATCATTGCAATAGATGTAGTAAGCATATGGGCTTTCGTGCTTCCCAAAATTTGCAATTTGGAAGAGGAAACCATAAAAATTTCGTACTCAAATGTACACAAAGTTATTGTGATCAGGGAGGAGATGGTGCACTTCAATAAACAAAATTTATTGTTTTATCATACTATCAATCAATGTAAAATGAAGTTACATAACGTTTGAAAGGCACTAGTTGCCAGAGCCCCAAATGTTACTATGTTAAAGAAGCGGATTTAATAGAATATGTTTCTACATGCAGAGAAAATGATAAATG